GAAGTATTTCTGGAAGCACTTTCTAATTTCACCAGGTTTCTGGATATTTTTCCCTTCCACCTCTAGATTGGTAACGTAGTTAAGTTTCTGTCTTTTTTTCAACTGCCATGCCAGCAGTTTCCCACATTTGTTTGCTGACTCAAAGGATCTTTGTCTCATTTGTTTAATTTTCCATTCCACTTCTTGATTTATCAATTTCAAATATTGTGCCTGATGGAATTTAATTTCTCGCAAGATCTCTTTGGATTTTGGTTTAGATCTCAATCTTTTCTCTCCATCTCTTATCTTCTCTAATATTTTATCCTTTTTCCCATTCCAGAGTTTTTTCTTAATTGTGTTTTGTTGTATCAGAAACCCCCTCATTACAGCTTTACTAGCGTCCCAGATTGTTCTTTTTTCCACTGAAGTGTTCAAGTTGATTTCAAAATAGCCCTTTAAAGTTTTTTGGGCCTTCTTTACGATCTCTTGATCTCTAAAGAGGGTGTCGTTCATTTTCCATCTGAAGGAGCCGGCTGGAGTAAGTCTCAATTCCATTTTCAGGGCGTTATGGTCGGAGCAAGTCTTTGGGCAGATTTCCACTCTTATAGTCTTCGGTGCCAGCCCTCTAGTCGTCCAGATTTGGTCGATTCTCGTCCATGATGAGTGGGCCTCAGAAAAGAAAGTTCCCTCTCTACCTAGGGGGTTCCTTGTCCGCCAAATGTCAATCAAATCCATATTGTCTGTCAGTTCAAAAAAAGTTTTCGGTAGTCTGCCGTCCTTAGTTAAATTTTGGCTTTGTGACTTATCCATCAAAGTAGAGACCACCCCATTCATGTCTCCCATCATAATGATGTTCGAATAGTCCAGATAGTCCAGTAATGTCTCATGTAGCTTCTTGTAGAATTCTGCTTTCCCCTCATTTGGTGCATAAATTCCTAATATCAAAACTTTTTCTCCTTGAGATTGTATTTCAATTGCCAAGATTCTTCCTTGCTCATCTTTAAACAAAAATTTCGGTGCTAGGTTCTCCTTTACGTAGATCACCAGGCCTCTCTTTTTTACTTTGTCTGATGAAATAAATTCTTGGCCTAGTCTTTTGTTAATTAGTACTTTCCTGTGGAGCCTAGTCACGTGCGTTTCTTGCAAGCAAATTATATCCAAATTTTCCTTTTTCAAAATATGGAAGATCCTTTTTCGTTTTTCCGGGGAATTTGCGCCATTAATGTTCCAACTGTACAGCTGCAGAGACATCCTGTATCAATCTGTTGTTGCTCTTTATGGGGTGTCCTCCTTTTTGTCCAGGTCCGAGGGAGATGGTGTTGGATCCAGTCCAGGCTGTGGCGGAGGCCAAGGAACTGCTATTCCCTTCTGGAGATCCTCTCCGTTGTCGTGCAGGAACTTCTGGTTGTCCTCTTTTGTCTTAATTCTAACCTTCTTTCCTTTGTATTTAAATGATAGACCTTGTGGGAACTCCCACCTATAAGGTATTCCGTTGCCTCTCAAGAGTCTTGCTAGGTCAGTATAGATGGCTCTGAGATCCAGTAATTGTTTTGGTATATCCTTATAAATTTCCGCCCTTCTATCCTGGATCTCAAGTGATTTATTAAAATGAAGGTCAAGTATTTTGTCTCTCTCCTGTTTGGTCCTTAGGATAATCAGGCAGTCTCTGGGTCTGTCCTTCCTGGTGACACTTCCCAATCTAAATGCCGTTGTTATTTTAAAGTCTTCGTCTTCCTTTATTCCCCAGAATTTGGAAAATTCTGCTGTCAAAAAGCCAGTCAAATCTTCTTTTTCAAGCTCTGGGATAGAGCGTAATCTTAAATTATTTTCCCGGTTTCTCAATTCCACCATAGACAGGTAGGCCTGCTGGTCACTGATGTGCTTATGTAGTGGCCTTACCTCTCCTTTCAGTTCGTCCACTTTTTGGATTGCTTGGTCAGCTTTTTCGTTCGCAGCTTCGGCCAATTTCCTGTTCTCAGAAGTAACGTCTTTTAGATTCCCAATTGCTTGTGAGTGCTGTGCCACTTGTTCAGATAGCTTTGTAATAGAGGATGTGGCTAAGTCAATTTTTGCTGTTTGGTCATCAACCTTCTTATTTAAAATTGCAAATTGTTGTAGCATTTCCTTCAGAAGTACATCAGATCCACCTGCAGCCATATCCTCTATTGCTGGTTGTTCAGCTTCCTTTAGTTCAGCTGTTGTTGAAGGTTCAGTTCCCTTCAATTCAGCTACTGTTGGAAGTTCAATTCCCTTCAGTACAGCAGGAACTGATGATCTACGTGACTGAGAAGTCAAAGTTGTTTGCACCAGCTGGCCTTTTGTTGCTTTCGCTTTTGCAGATCTTGTTTTCGGTTGGCCACTCATTCCCCACCTGTCAATGAGTCAAGGTCAAGCTGTCAAATGTTCCATGGGAAGGACAGACCTCAGTGTAGATAACAACAGCGAAGAGACAAAACAAAGTTAGTTCCCAAGAAGTTGTAAATCCCAGTCTCCACTAGAGGGAGTACAGTTGGAGGGAGTACAGTTGGAGTTCAGGAGAGAAGGAAAAAAGTTTGGTCGCCATTAAAGTTCCTGCAGCTAAATAATTTACCAATAGTCCTTAAAACTTTTTTCCGCTAGCAGAGCCCTTCCAAAGTTGCCACAAATGTCACCTCTCAAGGCGCAGGATACAGTTACTTAGTTATGTAGTCCAAAGTTGCCTCTATGTATCTATTTTCAAATTTATAGATTGTATCCGCAAAAGACATTCTTTTCCCCTGCCATCCCGAGGCTGGGTCTTAAACTTTAAAGTCCACCAGAGGAGAAGGTTCCCAAATTACTTCCAAATTACTGTAAAGTAAATTAAAAAGAAAGCTTGCCTTTCATTTCAGACCTCAGTTCTGTCAGACGCATAATGCTTCCGCTTTTAAAATCCTTTTCTACTGCTTCCAGCCTGTCAGTTCCTTTGCCTTTGATCTATAAGCTTTGCCGGGAGACGGACTTCCTCTTTTTCGTCTCCCGCTTTCAGCCGAATTTCTGAGTTTGTAAATCCAAAATAGAGTAACACTTACTCGCGAGTAGATGATTTAAAATCCAATGGTTAAGGAAGAAAGGTCGGCGCTCATCGGCAGCAGCCGCGCGGCTTCGCTCCCGCAGAAAGAGCGATGAACTCTCAGCACCGCTTCCCCTCTGCGCTTCCGGAACCCCTTACGGGGTCCCTTCTTCGTTTCGGGGGTCGCTCCAGGTGCCCGCCGAGTCCCACGGCCACGAGCTCACTCTGCTCGTGGTTTTTCTTGATGGATCGTCGCTGAGCCGTAGCGGACGATCCTTTTCTGCGGAGCCCCTCTTTAGAGACTAAAGAGGACCGCCATTACCGTTTCGCGCTGCCTCCGGAAGTCCACCCCCCATCGTTCTGCCTGGACACTGAGGTCCAGAGCCGAGGGCCTCCTGGTGGTTCTCTTGCTGCGAGATGCCATGTTATAGGGAACCAGGCAGAGGGCCTTCTTGGTAGTGGCACCTGCCCTGTGGAACGCCCTCCCACCAGATGTCAAAGAGAAAAACAACTACCAGACTCTTAGAAGACATCTGAAGGCAGCTCTGTTTAGGGAAGCTCTTAATGTTTAATCGGTTATTGTATTTTAATATTCTGTTGGAAGCCGCCCAGAGTGTCTGGGGAAACTCAGCCAGATGGGTGGGGTATAAATTATTATTATTATTATTATTATTATTATTATTATTATTATTATTTATTAATTATTTCAGTGACAGAGCTGCCTGCAGAGGCAGAAACACAGACATGGAAGGGGCATCTGCAAGGCAGAAAAGAGATGGACATGCACCGACAGATCTCCATCCATTTGTCACATGATCCCATATTTTGGGGGGGGGGCAAGTATGTGAGTGAGCAGAAGGGGCCTCACTCCCAGAAGTACCGGCTCAGGTAATGAATGTGCTGTGTCCCTTTGACTCTCGCCCTTCCTCTGGTAGGAGATGCTCTGTGGGGGAACCAAAAAAGCAGAGGGGTCAATAAGGGTCAGTTGGCGGGAGTGAGAACTCCAGGGCAGGTGTGGTGGCAGAAACACAGAAGCCAAAGGGGCAGCATACCTCCAGCATTCCTCAGTTGAAAATGTCTGTCATCTGAGGAATGTTGGAGGGTGTGAAATTTCAGCAATTCCCAAAGCTTAATCTGGTAAAAAGGTAAAGGACCCCTGACAGTTAAGTCCAGTCGCGAGCGACTCTGGGGTTGCGGCGCTCATCTTGCTTTATTGGCTGAAGGAGCAGACGTTTGTCCGCAGACAGTTTTTTTGGGTCATGTGGCCAGCATGACTAAGCCGCTTCTGGCAAAACCAGAGCAGCGCACGGAAACGCCGTTTACCTTCCCGCCAGAGCGGTACCTATTTATCTACTTGCACTTTGATGTGCTTTCAAACTGCTAGGTTGGCAGGAGCAGGGACCGAGCAATGGGAGCTCACCCCGTCGCGGGGATTCGAACCGCCGACCTTCTGATCAGCAAGTCCTAGGCTCTGTGCTTTAACCCACAGCACCACCCACATCCCTCTTAATCTGGTAGTGGGGCACAATTTGGCTTTTGACAATATTTCTGCAAATTATCCTTTTAATCCTTTGCAGACAAAATGGAGATTGCAGAATGCACACCAAAAAATATACATTTCCTGCAAAAGGTACACCAAACTTTTGATTCCTGAGTCTGCGACTAAAATTTCTAAAAGTTAGGAATTGGTTACAGCAAATGTCACGGCACTGTCCCTTGGATCGCTCCCTCTCTCGTGAGCAACTGGATCACAAACGTGTGTCTGGCTTGTTCCATATGTGCACATCCAGCAAAGTCAGTTTTGCACCTTCGTTCTCCTATCACTAAGCACGTTTTCCCCTCAAGCAGTGTCCTTGAATGCACAACGATGCCCGCAGGTAACAGGAAGCTGGTGCTTTAAAAAGAAATCCCACCTGATCCCTTTGCAAGATAGCGGCTTCCTAAATCAATGTCTAGTTGCTCTGGGGCTTCACTCCTGTTTCCAGATGCACAATTCTCTTCAGTTGCAAAGAACAGAAGACGGCAATTTGTGCTCTATAAATGTGCGAGAGGCAAAAGAACACAAACAGAAAGAACAGAAATATTTGGAAAGAAGAACAGGGGAAAAGAGCCCACAAGCACGGATGACTGGTATGACTTTTGAGTTTTAAAGAGACAGGAATAAAGATTGCTAAAAGGTTCTAGAATACATGATTTTGTGATTAAACCAGGGTGGGAAACTCTTACGGGTTTTGTTTGCAGAATAATCAAAGTTTTGTTGATTAATTAGTGAGAGAGTAAATTTCTGTTGAGCCTGTTTAAGGGCACATCTTTATTTTAAAAGCCATTTTGGTGTTGATGTGTTACTGTAGTAGGGAAGAAATATACCAAATATCCCTTTCCTTTCTAATAATGGGGTAGCTCTTGCTTATTAAATTCCAAGTTCTCATATACATGAGATGTTCAGTATCTCAAAAATGTACCTGCATTCTAGTTTTGCTCATGGGCAAAGATAATTTACAACCAGGCTGAAATCGGATGCCCGCTTGCCTGGGAGTAAGTACCCTTGAACTCTGTGGGACTTACTTCTGAGCAGACATGCAAATATTTAAAAAGTAGGTGATCGCTAAAAAAAAAATTGAGGATATTTTCCAGTAGTTTAAATGGAATTAAGTAATATATCACTTTTCCCACAACATTTTGGGATAAACATTTATGATTTAAGTGAGTACTTTTTTTTTCTTTCTTTCAAGAATCTGTATTTTCCAAAGGCATGTTAAGTGTGTACCAGCATGTTTGTCCATCCTTTCACAGGAACCTGTCTGATGAGGAAGGTATTGCAATTAACATTCTACGCAGTCCATCAAAGGACTTTCAAATATTTTTTTTTCCCTTTCAAATATTTTCCTTTCAAATATTTTCCAAAGCAATTCATCATCGTGATGGGTTAAAAAGGTAAAGGTAAAGGGACCCCTGACTATTAGGTCCAGTCGTGGCCGACTCTGGGGTTGCGGCGCTCATCTCGCTTTATTGGCCGATGGAGCCGGCGTACAGCTTCCGGGTCATGTGGCCAGCATGACTAAGCCGCTTCTGGCGAACCAGAGCAGCGCACGGAAACGCCGTTTACCTTCCCGCCGGAGCGGTACCTATTTATCTACTTGCACTTTGACGTGCTTTCGAACTGCTAGGTTGGCAGGAGCTGGGACCGAGCAACGAGAGCTCACACCGTCACGGGGATTCGAACCGCCAACCTTCTGATCGGCAAGCCCTAGGCTCTGTGGTTTAACCCACAGCGCCAGTGGCGTAGCGTGGGTTGTCAGCACCCGGGGCAAGGCAAGTAATTTGCGCCCCCTAACCCGTGGATTTGCGCCCCCTAACCCGTGGATTTGCGCCCCCTAACCTGTGGATTTGCCCTAACCCCAGATGTTGCGCCCGGTGCGGCCGGCCCCCCCTGCACCCCCCACGCTACGCCACTGCACAGCGCCACCCGCGTCATCATGGGTTACATCAAAACAAATACCGAATCATTTAAATTAGCAGGAGTTCATTTCATTTCAAAAAGGATGTTTGGACAAATTAAATCTCTGCAACTTTCTGTCTCAAGTTACCTGCTGCTTGAGTTATACCGTGATGATGTCGCTGGGTGAAGTGATGGCTGTTGTCACATGGTCACCCCTCCAGTTTCCTCAAACACAGCTAGAGAAGCAGCAAGGGCAATTGGTGCTTTGAAGCTGCTTCATCAGGAAGACACGGAGAATCATAGAGTTGGAAGGGACCCGAGGGTCATCTAGACCAACCCCCTGCAATGCAGGAATCTCAGCTAAAGCATCCATGACAGATGGCCGTCCAACCTCTGTTTAAAAACCTCCAAGGAAGGAGAGTCCGCCACCTTTTGTGGGAATCTGTTCCAGTGCCGAACAGCTCTTACTGTCAAAAAATCTGGACGAATGTTTAGTCTTGGACTACTGCAATGCGCTCTGTGTGGGGCTACCTTTGAAGGTGACCTGGAAACTACAACTAATCCAGAATGCGGCAGCTAGACTGGTGACTGGAGGCGGCCGCCGAGACCACATAACACCAGTCTTGAAAGACCTACATTGGCTCCCAGTACATTTCCGAGCACAATTCAAAGTGTTGGTGCTGACCTTTAAAGCCCTAAATGGCCTCGGCCCAGTATACCTGAAGGAGCGTCTCCACCCCCATCGTTCAGCCGGGACACTGAGATCCAGCGCCGAGGGCCTTCTAGCGGTTCCCTTACTGAGAGAAGTGAGGTGACAGGGAACCAGGCAGAGGGCCTTCTCGGTGGTGGCACCCGCCCTGTGGAACGCCCTCCCATCAGATGTCAAAGAGATAAACAACTACCTGACATTCATAAGCCATCTGAAGGCAGCCCTGTTCAGGGAAGTTTTTAATGTGTGACATTTTAATGTATTTTTAATCTTTGTTGGAAGCCGCCCAGAGTGGCTGGGGAAAGTCAGCCAGATGTGCGGGGTACAAATTATTATTATTATTATTAGAGTCAGAATCTCCTTTCCTGTAACATGAAGCCATTGGTTCAAGTCCTACCCTCCAGAGCAGGAGAAAACAAGCATGCTCCCTCTTCCATGTGACAGCCCTTAAGATATTTGAAGATGGCTATCATATCTGCTCTCAGTCTCCTCTTTTCCAGGATAAATATTCCCAGCTCCTTCAAGCGCTCCTAGTAAGGCTTAGTTTCCAGACCCTTGATCATCCTGATTGCCCTCCTCTGCACACGTTCCAGCTTGTCAACATCCTTCTTAAATTGTGGTGCCCAGAATTGGACACAGAATTCCAGGCGTGGTCTGACCAAGGCAGAATAAAGTGGAACTTCCCTTGATCTGGGACGCGGGTGGCGCTGTGGGTTAAACCACAGAGCCCAGGACTTGCCGATCAGAAGGTCGGCGGTTCGAATCCCCGTGAACGGGGTGAGCTCCCATTGCTTGGTCCCTGCTCCTGCCAACCTAGCAGTTTGAAAGCATGTCAAAGTGCAAGTAGATAAATAGGTACCACTCCAGCGGGAAGGTAAACAGCGTTTCCGTGCGCTGCTCTGGTTTGCCAGAAGCGGCTTAGTCATGCTGTCCACATGACCTGGAAGCTGTACGCCAGCTCTCTCGGCCAATAAAGTGAGATGAGCGCCGCAACCCCAGAGTTGGTCACGACTGGACCTAATGGTCAGGGGTCTCTTTACCCTTTACTCTTACCTCCCTTGATCTGGACACTAGACTTTTGTTGCTGCTGCCTAGAATAGCTTTTTTTGCTTCTACATCGCACAGCTGACTCATGTTAACCTTGTGGTCCACCAGACCCCTAGAACCTTTTCACATCTACGGCAAGCTGCAGGTCTCTGTTCTTATTTATCCATTTTGTGCACAAGCAGAATGCTGGAATTTCCCCCAAAATAATACAGAAGTGAAGTTTCTGTGGAGGATTTAAAATGCAATGTTTCACATGCAAAAGTGAATCAGGCTGGTTTATTTAACAACCTCTCTCGTAGACAAGAGTTAATGAAGAAGAAATAAATGCCCTGTGCTGCAGACATTTCAAGGTAACACAATATTCTGGACATTTATTGCCCATGTTAATTTTTCTTATCTATTCCTCCCTTCCAGCAGGACATCTGGCCAGTTCTACATACCAGGAAAACGTACAATCCTGTCTTGAAGATCAACACAGCTATTGTATTAATGGTATCTGCATATTTAATAAGGAACTACAGGTGCCCACCTGCAGGTAAACAAGTATACAAAATAAAACAAAATTAAAAATTATTATTATTATTATTATTATTATTATTATTATTAGTTGTGCAGCAATCTCGATGTTATGATGTACCTGAAAAAGCTCTTTACTCTTGGGGCACGGGGCTGCAGAAGTCATCTTGACGAGTGATTTGGCGATTAATTGATGCCCCTTTGCTTATGACTACTGCAAGCTAGGTTTTATCTTACAGGCAGCCTTTCCTTAGGAATTTTATTATATTCCCCCACTCTAGGTGCCTCACAGGTTACAGTGGCGAGAGATGTGAACATTTGATGTTGAACTCCCATGCGCAGGACCCTTATGACCATTACATTGCTGTCGGGATTGGGGCTGGAATATTGCTAATAGGTATTTTTGCTGCCATCTACTGCTGCCTAAGAAAAAGGTACGAAAGAGAAGACGATAGTATTTGTCTTGCCTGTTGCATTTCGTAGGGGATGTTCCACTGGGGGCATAGATGTGTCTTGTTTTTGGGTGTACAGTTCCAGTTTCCTTATCCAGTGCTTTTTTCCTATAAAAATGTTTAGGGGTACTCTCATTTTGGCTCAAGAAAACCACCATTTTATAGTTCAAATCGGGGGAAATAAATAAAGTGCCGTATTTTTCGCTTTATAAGGCGCACCAGACCACAAGATGCACCTAGTTTTTGGAGGAGGAAAACAAGAAAAAAAATATTCTAAATCTCAGAAGCCAGAACAGAAGAGGGATCGCTGCGCAGCGAAAGCAGCAACCCCCCTTGCTGTTCTGGCTTCTGGGATAGCTGCACAGCCTGCATTCGCTCCATAAGACGCACATACATTTCCCCTTACTTTTTAGGAGACAAAAAGTGAGTCTTATAGAGCAAAAATACGGTAAATGGACAAAAGTACAAAGATTCACATAAATATATCCATAACTGACGCAGGCCAGAAATAGGCTGATCCATCCATTCCTAGTTTTGGGAGGCAGGCAGTAAGGTGTGTCATGATCACACTTGCACCGACATTGCAAGTTAGAAAAGGATTCTCAGAAAACAGATAAGCTTTCTGTGTACGCTTCCCAGGACTTCTTTGCACACTGAGTCACTTCCATATGTAGCCAAGGTACACTCACCCATTCACTAGTACAGGGGTCAGCAACATGCAGCCCATGGGCCGGATGCGGCCCACGAAGACCGTTTTACCAGCCCCCGATCTGCCCCCAAACCGAGCGACCCACTCAGCGATTCCCCTGTGCGCTGCGTTAAACCAGTGCGGCACGGCACGAGGACTCGCTGAGTGGCGCAGAATCGTGTCTGCGCACATGCAGATACCAGAAACCACTTGTGCGCATGCCCAGATGCCAAAAATTGCTTCTGCGCAGGAGTGATTTTCAGTGTCTGGGCATGCACAGAAGCGATTTCTGGCGCCACGGATTTCAGCGTTGCTCTGCGCCAGTCTGGCCCACGCATTATCTCCGTGGGAGTGATCCAGCCCATAGCTGGTAAGCCTTGCCGACCCCTGCACTAGTACATTTACTACAAAACACGACCCCCTTTTTACTAAAATTTTCTGGTACTTTGACAATGATACCCAATGACAATGCATTGCAAACTCGTCTTGCCAGCGTTCCATGTACGGTGGTAACTCGGGTTACAGACGCTTCAGGTTACAGACTCCGCTAACCCAGAAATAGTACATTGGGTTAAGAACTTTGCTTCAGGATGAGAACAGAAATCGCGCGGCGGTGCAGCAGCAGCAGCAGCAGGCCCTATTAGCTAAAGTGGTGCTTCAGGTTAAGAACAGTTTCAGGTTAAAAACGGACCTCCGGAATGAATTAAGTACGTAACTGTTACGTACTGAAGTTCTCACCCTGGGCCAGCAGGGGGATACTGTAGATAGTTTCCACTCAGGTCCACATATGCAAATAAGGGATTGAAAGTGACGTTCAGTGATTGGATAGTTACAGAAAATGGTTACTGTTGCGTTCTAGTGGAGCTCTATATAAGCAGGCTGGCTGAACCCTTCAGTTGAGTTCTGTTCTGGCCTGTGAATAAACAAGAGCTGTTTGAAGAATCGCTGTGTCATCTGATATGTTCACCCACAATTTAACAGTAACCAGAGGTACCACTGTAATCAGAAATGACAGAAATGATATCTCAATTCCATTCATTCTGCCTTTTCTTCCCTAGGTACAGAAAAACCAGACTCCTCCTACAAAGTCTGCCATGAGGAGACAGCACTGTGAAGGTCTTCTGGGTGGTGTATGTGTTTGCTGATGAACTAGGTGTGGTGGCCAAAGAAAACCAGAGTCGGCAAAAGACTTTGTGGGCTGCTAGCTGCTAAGATCCTTCTTGCCTGCCTTGTCCTTAGCTTCTGAGCAGAACGTTGCAGAGGCCTTGCGCCATGGACGAGGCGAAATATGTGCTCTGTCCTCCCGAGTGGCACTGTTGATCTGTGTGGTTCAATGTTGTCCCCTCCGAGTGGTAGTTTTCTGCAGAGTCTTGGGTCTCTTTTTTGCATCTAGAGATGTGGGGGACTGAACTTGGCTTGCCGATCGGAAGGTCAGCGGTTCGAATCCCCGCGACGGGGTGAGCTCCCGTTGCTCTGTCCCAGCTCCTGCCAACCTAGCAGTTCAAAAGCACCACTGCAGCGGGAAGGTAAATGGCATTTCCGTGCGCTCTGGTTTCCATCACGGTGTCCCATTGTGCCAGAAGCGGTTTAGTCATGCTGGCCAAATGACCCGGAAAACTGCGGACAAATGCTGGCTCCCTCGGCCTGAAAGATGAGCGCCACAACCCCATAGTTGCCTTTGACTGGACTTAACCATCCAGGGTCCTTTACCTTTTACCTACAAATGAATATTCTTTCAACTGGGCAGTTCACTCCACAGGAAAGTTAAAGGAAAGATGGATAGTCCTTCCAGACCTCACCAAACCTCACCTTGGAGGAAGTGTTGCCTAGACCAGGAGTTGTCAACCTTTTGGAGTCTATGGGTGCATTTTCAAACTGGAGACACTGTCATGGGCACACATGCACATAACTTATTCTATATTGGCTCCACTAGAATATTTCTTTCAAGCCTAATTTTGGAGAGGGGAGGGGACTCCTTTGGGCCTCTGCATTGGCAATGCCTGGCATAGACAAGACACAGGCACCCCAGCGTCAAGATTCAAGGCTTGTTGGGAACTCATATGAAAAGGACCCTTCTTCTTCTTCTTCTTGAATTTATATACTGCCCTATACCCAGAGGTCTCAGGGCGGTTCACAGAATATAATCAATATATAAAACCACAAAACACCTAATAAAAATAAAAACAACAGCCCAATAGCCCCCTCCCACACAAAAAAACCCACATGTGATCCCTCTTGCTGTTCTGGCTTCTAGGATAGCTGCGCAGCCTGCATTCGCTCCATAAGACGCACACACATTTCCCCTTACTTTTTAGGAGAGCCCAGAGCTCAGGTTGCAAGTGGGTGTAGCCTACCAGCCTCTCAGCAGCCGCTGTTGTCTTCTGCTTCTCAGTCTTTTTTCAATGCTTCCAGGGGCAAGCGAAGAAGGAGTCGTGCGGCCAATGGCTCCCAGCTGCAATGATAACCAAGTGAACTGAATCTCTCCAAAGGGAGATTTTACAGCCTGCATCTTTGCTAACCCAAAGATTGCATGATCTTTTTTTGTGAGGAAACCAAGTTCTTTTGTTTTTAAGTTGTTTGGAACCATTTTTTTCCACATCTTTGTTTCACTACCAGCAGATGCAGACTTATCTGATGCAACTTCTGAAAAATCTATGAGTAAAATGTTCACTTGTTTGCAAAGCTAAGTGTCTCTGATTTATTCTAGCCTAAGCATTTTCATGGGGAACGTTTATTGAAAGGTGGGTGAGAGCAGATGTAAATTTAACCAACTTCCAATGTGCTTGGAGCAATTACCATTGTGCAATTGACCTTCGAAACCTCTCTCTCCAACATGTGTTCCTATTGCTATCGTTTCACACACAGATCTACTACTTGCCTTCCTGAATGGCTTCCAGGAAATGCATGTAGAACTCCTCCATGTGAGGACCAGGATCCCTGATTGGTCCAGGGTCCCTCCTCACAGGGAGGAGCTGCGTGTTCATCCATTAGTAAGTGAATATAATTCCTTCTGACATAGCTTGAATACACAGACACTGGGGAAACTGGGCCACGTCAGAGGCTAGAGCTTGCTCATGTGTTCCCACAAATGCAATTTCTTTCTTTACAGATTTATCCATCGCTTCATAACCAGAGATGTGCAGTAAGATGGGGTAAAATACAAAATAGCCAAATTCTAAGAACGATACACTACAATTGTATAATTCACATTCTGTAAATATTATGGAAGAATAAACCTGTGGATGGCGAGGTCATATGAGCCCCAATATCATAGCTGTCAACTTTTCCCTTTTCTTGCGAGGAATCCTATTTGGAATAAGGGAATTTCCCTTTAAAAAAGGGGAAAGTTGACAGCTATGCTCAATATATGATCAGCATTCTAAGCGCTGTTATGATGGTTTGGGTGGAATGAGGAGAGGGACAGAATGGTGCTATTCGGCTCCCAGTTGAGTTCTGCAGGAATGCTTTAACTTTCACTATTCTTTTGCTGCATAAAATTAAATTACACCATTGATGGAAGGGTGGAGCGGGGTGCAGCTGAGGTCTCAGAAACCTTAGAACCCTGACTAAGTACCACTGCTCCCATGCTGTGACATCATCACCACCCATTTTTGGCCCCTGTTGCATCAGTGTAACCCAGGCACAGGCACACTCGGTCCTCCAGATGTTTTGGGACTACAACTCCCATCATCCCTGACCACTGGTCCTCTTAGCGAGGGATGATGGGAGTTGTAGTCCCAAAACATCTGGAGGGCCGAGTTTGCCTACGCCTGGTGTAACCCCATGATGGCAAAATGCGGTGATGAACCGATATAGAATTTTCAAAGGTGGTATAGACGCCTGCTTCTTGGGAGAAAAGCACTGACAAACCTAGACAGCATCTTAAAAAGCAGAGACATCACCTTGCCAACAAAGGTCCATATAGTTAAAGCTATGGTTTTTCCCGTAGTGATGTATGGAAGTGAGAGCTGGACCATAAAGAAGGCTGATCGCCAAAGAATGGATGCTTTTGAATTATGGTGCTGGAGGAGACTCTTGAGAGTCCCATGGACTGCAAGAAGAACAAACCTATCCATTCTTAAGGAAATTAGCCCTGAGTGCTCACTGGAAGGACAGATCCTGAAGCTGAGGCTCTAAGACTTTGGCCACCTCATGAGAAGAGAAGACTCCCTGGAAAAGACCCTGATGTTGGGAAAGATGGAGGGCACAAGGAGAAGGGGACGACAGAGGACGAGATGGTTGGATAGTGTTCACGAATCTACCAGCATGAGTCTGACCAAACTGCGGGAGGCAGTGGAAGACAGAAGTGCCTGGTGTGCTTTGGTCCATGGGGTCACGAAGAGTCGGACACGACTAAAGGACTAAACAACAACATAGTTGCAAGATGTGCTGGAAGAAGGAAATCAGTTTGGCTGTCCAGCCAGCGTAACTCGATCAGAAGAGTGGACCGCAAATCACTTTGCGCATGAAAAACGTATTTTTATTCATATAAAATGTGCAGAAGGGTTCAGTCATGTGCTATTCAAAAACCAAGGTCAACACACGCCTCTAGAGGGCAGTGTTGCACCATTAATCAGCTTCGGAGGCTTGCTGCTTTTTCCACTTGCTAAGCAGATTTCCGAAATGATTGCTCATTTTTAGTTTGCGCTGAACTAACCATTTTAGTTATGCCTGCAATTAAAAACTGCTTAACAGGAAGGCTAAGCTCCACGTTTCCACTCCCACTGAAATTAATGGAAGATTTTGAATCTGCAGACATATATCATGGCAAAATTAAAGCTAAATGTGTCATTTAATTATGGAATTTATATACCGCCCTATACCCGGGGGTCTCAGAGTGGTTCACAGAATAAAATCAAGATATAAAACCACAAAATACCTAATAAAAATAAAAGCAACAACCCAATAGCCCCCCCCCTAAAAAAAAAACATTTTAAAAGGGCATAGGATATAAATCGGATCAACCAAAGGCCTGGTTAAAAAGGAACATTTTTGCCTGGTGCCTAAAGATGTATAATGAAGGCGCCAAGGTAAAGGGACCCCTGAACATTAGGTCCAGTCGTGGCCGACTCTGGGGTTGCGGCGCTCATCTCGTTTTACTGGCTGAGGGAGCCAGTGTACAGCTTCCGGGTCATGTGGCCAGCTTGACTAAGCCGCTTCTGGCGAACTAGAGCAGCGCACGGAAACGCCGTTTACCTTCCCGCCAGAGTACCTATTTATCTACTTGCACTTTGAGGTGCTTTTGAACTGCTAGGTTGGCAGGAGCAGGGACCGAGCAACGGGAGCTCACCCCGTCGCAGGGATTCGAACCGCCAACCTTCTGATCAGCAAGTCCTAGGCTCTGTGGTTTAGACCACAGCGCCACCCACGTCCCTCCGACATGCTCCGAGTGACTAACTGATTCCTGTAGCTGCCTCTGCCTTTAACGTACAGCTGCAATGGATTCACCCAGCTTCCTCGCCTGCTGCTAACACGCAAAACAGAACCGGAGCCCCAATGGCCTCTCCTGAATCCCACACACACACACACGTGAAGAAGAGTTTGGATTTGATATCCCGCTTTATCACTACCCGAAGGAGTCTCAAAGTGGCTAACATTCTCCTTTCCCTTCCTCCCCCACAACAAACACTCTGTGAGGTGAGTGGGGCTGAGAGACTTCAGAGAAGTTTGACTGGCCCAAGGTCACCCAGCAGCTGCATGTGGAGGAGCGGGGAAGCGAACCCGGCTCCCCAGATTACGAGTCTATCGCTCTTAACCACTACGCCACACTGGCTCTCACAAACACACACACACACACACACACACACACACAGCCAGGGTTGCTGCGCCAGCTTCTATGTTGCTGGCTCAACACGGAACTCGGGGCCAAGCAGGCAATATTTATCGGATCTATTTAAAGCTGTGTGCATACCGCTTAATCATTTGCATTTCTAAGTAGTGTACCTGAAAAGAAAACGTACGGAGAATTAAGCCATAAAAAGCCGCCATAAAAACCAGCACTTCCTTAAAAGGCATAAGGAAGCTTCCGTCGAGAGCCTAAAGTTCAGCAAGGACTTTGGTAGGCAACCTAAGGCCTGTGGGCCAGATCTGGCCCAATTGCCTTCTCAATCCGACCCACGGATGGTCCGGGAATCAGCATATTTTTACATGAGTGAAATGTGTCCTTCTATTTAAAATGCACTTCTGGGTTATTTGTGCGGGCCTGCCTGGTGTTTTTACCCAAGTAGAATGTGTTCTTTTACAGTGGTGCCTCGCAAGACGAAATTAATCCGTTCCGCGAGTCTCTTCGTCTTGCGGTTTTTTCGTCTTGCGAACCACGGCTATTAGCAGCTTAGCGGCTATTAACGGCTTAGCGGCTATTAACGGCTTAGCGGCTTAGCGGCTATTAGCGGCTTAGCAGCTATTAACGGCTTAGCTGCTTAGCGGCTATTAGCGGCTTAGCGGCTATTAGCGGCTTAGCGGCTATTAACGGCTTAGTGGCTTA